CTCCCTTCCCTCCCTCCCACCCCCCATCAACCCTCAGTTTGTTCTCAGTTGGTGCTTCCATTTTTAGCCTCTTCCCAACTCAATTCACCTCCCGCGAAGTCAGCTTTCCCATACACACTCACTCCCTCGGGCAAAGCATCTCTCGAGCACCTACTAGGCACCGCACACCTTGTTCGGTGACGAGAATATCAAAGCAAACAAGACACAGAGCTGCGGCTACTGCTCTCCTGGTGATGGCTCTCCACCGCCTCACCGAGGAGCCCACGCTCCTCGGAACCCAGGCCAGAACTCCCACGATGAGGCCACAGGGTGACCTCTTTGGCCACAGCTCCCTCCAAGAACCCAAAGGCTCAGCCACCACAAGACAACTCACTGGCCCCCACGCCAAGCACTGTCCTGCCCCCCGCGCCTTTCTTCCTCCCATTTCTGTCTTGCTTTTCCCCTTCTGAAAATCCTTCCCGTTCTCCAATGAGAAATGGCTCAAACGACATTTCTTCCGTGGAGTTGCCATAATTCCCCAGGTTGGAACTAATCACCCAATTCTCTTCGCTCCCAAAGCAGAGCTCTAATACCAGCATTGTAACATTTATTTCGTCCAGGTTTATGGTTTAGGTAATGAGGTGGGGAAATTATTATCTAGCGGCTGACGCCAGAATTTCTCTTAGGGAGGAAAATGTTGTCCTTTGGGAAAATACCTTGAACTCTAGCCCCCCAGGTCCCTCCCTTGGGGTTCACAGATTCAGGAGGGAGGGGCGAAGAGTTCTTACCTGTGTTCCGGGGGGCGGGGAGGGGAGGGAGGGTCCTCCTGTTCACTGCTTCCCCCCCCCCCCCCGGGGTCCTCTCTGAGGAGGGGGCACAGAGCAGAGACATGAATGGAATGAAAGAATTCTGGGGGAAGGGCACTGCAGGTGGATGGAACATGGAGTAAGGTGCTGGGTGAAGCAGCATGATGCTTGCTGGGAACAAGAACCTGTCACCAGCATGTCATTGTCTTGGGGGCATGAGAACCTGCTTAGGGCCACCTGTAGATCCTGTCTCCAGGAGATACACATGAGCACAGGTGTGCGTGGCAAATATTGCTCTGAATTCCAGGAGGTTCACAGACCTTCTGAAGCTAGTCATAAAAATCGAGCGGGGAGGAAGCGAGTGAGTACGTGGACCCCAGGTCAAGAATGGCTGTGCCGAATCACAAAGGCGAGGCAGGAGATGAAGCTGGAACCACAGGCCAGAAACTAGTGGACACCAAATGTCACATCAGGGGGTTGGGGCTCGGCTGTGAGTAGGAGGGGCTGCTGTCAATATGGGTCATGAAAGCCATCACAGGATGTCTGCTGTGGGACTAAGGGACAGGTACGGATGAGACCGTGAGGGGAAGCAAGAATGGGGCAAAAGAGGACAAACTGAAGAGGCACCTAAAAGACGGATTGTATTCAATTCCTACAGCAGCTCTAATAACTGACCTCACATTCTTGATGGCTTAACACAGCACGAATTCATTCCCTCACAGCTCTGGGGGCCAGAAGTCTGAAGTCAGTTCCACGAGGCTAAGGGCAAGATGTCAGTAGGGCTGGTTCCTTCTGGAGGCTCTATGGAAGAATCCATTTCCTTGCCTTTTCTAGAAGCTTCCCTGAGGAAAGTTGAGGCATAGGGGCCTTCACTGGTCTCCCTGAAGATCCCTCTTTGGCCTCACTGGACAGCCATATTCTCACCCACTTCCCGGATCCCATGGTGTTTCTGTATCAACCACCTGCCCAACCTGCCAGGTCCCCCAGGGCTCCAATCACACTGACAAGGCCCCTCCCACTGTGGGCAGCCACCAACAGACAGTCCTTCCAGGTCCAGGACCAACTAGGTCTACTCTGACCCCAGCCTCCAGTCTCAGCCCCAGCCCCACCTCTGCCCGGCTGAGGCAGCAAATGTCTGTCCTGCCTGACCTGGCTCCCTCCAGAATTCTAAGACAGAAAGGAAAAATGGGGAGGAGGAAAAAGACACAATCTCTTTTTACCCTTCGTTCTTCTCAATTGTTTGGAAGTTAGACTTTTATCATAAATCTTTGTAACTACTGAGAGGGTAGTGGTTAAGAACCCAGGTGCTGATGTAAGACATCTGGGTTCAGATCTGACTCTACTCACAAGCCAGGTGACTCTGGGTGAACTGTTTTACCTCTCTGTAGCTCAGTTTTCTTATCTCTATAAATAGGAGAATACCAACAAAAATATACCAAGTGCTTCTCACAGTGCCTGTTACACTAGTGCAATAGTTAAAAGATGTAGTCAATCTGGTTTTCAATCCCAACTCCATTACCTATTAGCTATGCAGTTTTAGGCAAATCGCTTAACATCTCTGTGCCTCAATTTTCTCACCTAGCAGTGGGGCTGATGTTCACCATTGTATCTACTTCATAGAGTTATGAGGAGGGGTGCCTGGGTGGCTCAGTCAATTAAGTGTCCAACGCTTAATCTCGGCTCAGGTCATGATCTCACTGTTGGTAAATTCAAGCCCTGCATCAGACTCTCTTGCTTGGGATTCTCTCTTTCCCTCTTTTTCTGGTTCTCTCTCTCTCTCTCTCTCAAAAAAAAAAAGAAAGAAAGAAAGAAAGAAAGAAAGAAAGAAAGAAAGAAAGAAAGAAAGAAAAAACCTTTAAAAAAAAGAGTTATTATGAGGAATAGATGAGTTAGTGTAACTAAATCACTTAGACCAGTGCCTGGAACAGAGTAAGCACTGTGTAAATATTACCAGTTATTATTACTTAATAAGTGAATATTAGCTATTAATATAAATATACATTGTGTGGTTATTTAACATAAATAAGATCATACTGTCAATACATTCTGCAACCCGTGTTTTTGGTTTGTTTTTAGAGAGAGGGAGTGCAAACAGGACAAGGGGCAGAGGGAGAGAGAGAAAAAAAATCTTAAGCAGGCTCCAGGTTAAGCACAGAGCCTGACACAGAGCTCGATACTACAACCCTGAGATGTTGACCTGAGCCAAAATGAAGAGTTAGACACTCAACCGACTGAGCCACCCAGGCACCCTTGCAACCTGTGTGATTTACTTAACAATGTGTCTTGCATTTCTTGGATGCATTTTCACATCAATATTTAAAGATGTATCTTACTCTTTTTTAAACCACTGTAGCACTGGCTACTGACCATAAGAGGGAAGTACCCAGCTTGTTTAACTATACCTCTGTTTGGTGAGTACTTAGGTTGTTCCAAAGTTTTTGCTTTTATAAACCATGTTGCAGTGACCATCTTTGCTCTCTGATTATTCCATAAGTATTGCTCTGGGAAAGATAACTACAGGTGGCATGGGCAAGTTGCAGGGTGTGCATTTTTATTTTATTTTATTTCTTCTTTACATTTCCACCTCTTTTATTGAGGTATATGTAATTGGCATATAACATTAGTTTCAGGTGTACGACATAATGACTGAATATTTGGATACGCTGTGAAATGGTAACCACACTGTCTACTTTCCTCCTGACATCATATAAAGTTACATAATATGCAATCCAATATTGTTAACTAAAGTCACCAGGCGGTACAGCACCTCCCCATATCTTATTTCTTTTATAACTGGAAATCTGTACCTCTTGGTCCCCTTCTCCTATTTTGCTTACACCCTCCCATCCCCTACCCCACCCCCAGCAATCACCAATCTATTCTCTGCATCTATGAGTTTGGTTTGGCTTTTTTTGTTTGTTCATTGGTTTTGTTTTTTAGATTCCACATAAAGTGAAATAATACAGTATTTGTCTTTCTCTGTCTGACTTATTTCACCTAGCATAATAATACCTTCAAGGTCCATCCATGTTGTCACAAATGATAAGATTTCATTCTTTTATATGGCTAAGTAATTTTAAGTGTGTGTGTGTGTGTGTGTGTGTGTGTGTGTGTGTGTGTGTACATTCTAAAACTCTACATTTTTTAGATGGGTCAGTCAGTTGAGTGTCTGACTCTTGATTTTGGCTCAGGTCATGATCTCACAGTTCATGAAATCCGAGCCCTGCATTGGGTTCTGCACTGACAGCGCAGAGCCTGCTTAGGATTCTCTCTCTCCCTCTCTCTCTGCCCCTCCCGTGCTTGCGTGCACGTGTCTGTGCACTCTCTCTCTCAAAACAGATAGATAAACATTTAAATAATAACAATAATAAAATAAAACTCTACATTTTTATTCCTACTCTCCCACATTTGTTTTTGATGTCACATTTTACATCTTTTTATTTTGTGTATACCCTTTAATTGCTGTATTTACAGTTATTTTTTAAAATTTTTTAATGTTTTTTTTTTTTTTTTTTTTTTTAGAGAGGGAGAGACAGAGTGCAAGCCAGGGAAGGAGGAGAGAGAGAAGGAGACACAGAATCTGAAGCAAGATCCAGCCTCCAGGTTCTGAGTTGTCAGCACAGAGCTCGACACGGGGCTCAAACCCATGAACTGCAAGCTCATGACCTGAGCTGAAGCTGGACACTTAACTGACTGAGCCACCCAGGCACCCCTGTAGCTATAGTTATTTTTATTACTTTTGTATGCTAGCTTTATAAGTGATTAGTACACTATCTTTACTATATATTTTACCTTTGCCAGTGAGATTTTTACTTTCATATATATATTTTTTGTTACTACTTACTGCCCTTTCTTTTCAGCTTAAAGAAGTCCCTTTAACATTTTCTATAAGGCTGCTTTAGTGATGATATGCTCCTTGGGTCTTTGTTTATCTGGAAAACTTTTTTATCTCCTTCAATTCTGAATGATAACCTTGCTGGGTAGAGTATTCTTGATTCTAAGTCTTACTTTCAGCACTTCGAATACATCATGTCACTCCCTTCTGGCCTACAAAGTTTCTGCTAAAAAATCTGCTGATTATTTTATTGGGTTCCCTTGTATGTTATAAGTTGTTTTTCTCTTTTTGCTTTTAAGATTCTTTGACTTTGACATTTTAATGATGTGTCTTAGTATGATTCTCTTTGGGTTCATTTTATTTGGAACTCTGGGCTTCCTGGATCTGGATGTCTTGTTTTCTTCCCCAGGTTAAGGAAGTTTGCAGACATCATTTCTTCAAATAAGTGTCCTGTCTCTTTCTGTCTCTTCTCCTTCTGGGCCCCTATTATGCAAATGTTGTTTCATTTGATGTTGTTTATATGTCCCTTAAGCTAGCTTCACTTTTCTTAATTCTTTTTTTTTTTTATTGCTCCGTTTTGGGTGAGTTCCACTGCCCTGCCTTCCAGTCACTGATCCCATATTCTGTTTCATCTAGTCTGCTGTTGCATCCCACCAGTGTATTTTTCATTTCAGTTATTGTATTCCTCAGCTCTGAGATTTATGTTTCCTACTTTCTTCTATTTTCCGTCTCTTTGTTGAAGTTCTCTCTGTGTTCATTCTCCCAAGATCAATGAGCGTCTCTATGACCATTACCCTGAACTCTTTACCATGTAAATTACTTATCTCCATTTCATTAAGGTTTTTTCTGGAGTTTTATCTTATTCTTTCATTTGGAACATCTTCCTGTTTCCTCATTTTGCTTGACTCTCTGTGTCTGTTTCTATGCATTAGGTGAAATGGCTGTCTCTCCCAGTCTTAAAGGAGTGATCACAGGAAGACTGGGAATATGTTTCAGTCTGCTGTCTGTTCAGTGCCCTGTGGTGCTCCCTTGCCCAAAACTGTCTCTCCAGTTGCTTCAGTCCCATGGGGCCCAGAAATGCAAGCCCACTTGGCCATCAGAGCCAAGCATTCAAGGGACATCCCCTGTGTGGACTGCATGCACTTGTCAGCAGTGGTGGGGCCACGTCTGGCAACCAGGTTGGTGGAGCAGCCTCACACGGGGGTGTACTGGGTCAGGGTGAGCCAGCCCACCAGGTTTGGAAGGGTGGGACCACAGGACAGACTGGGCCAGGGGACATGGCACTAGCAAGATAAAGGTAGAGTGCAAAAATGGTGTCCACTAGCAAAGTAGAAGAGAGAGTGCAAAAATGGAACCCACCAGAGCCTCCTTCCCCAGAGAGAGTTCCAACAGACCCCTGGCCCTCTGGCAGATACTTTAAGCTTAGCCAATGAATCTCCTTCACATATGGTCTGGGCATTTTCCAACCTGCTACTTTTGTACGGGGTCCCAGGACAAGTGGGTCTGTGTCTGAGTCCTTCAGGAGCAGAGTCTCAGTTTCCTACAACCTCTTGGGTCTCCTGGATATAAGTCTCATTGGTTTTCAAAGCCGGATGTTCAGCAAAGGGTTGGGGTGCCTAGTGTGGGGGTCAAATTCTCTTCTCAGGGATATGCACCATATTTGTGCATATGGGTGGGCACCCTCGTGCTTCTGGGTCACTGCACTGGGAGTGGGGTCTTTAGCAAGACCATATCTCTGTCTTTTCTATCCATCTCAGTGTGGCCTTTTTATCCGTTGCTGTGGAGGAGCTACACAGCTTTCAGGTCTTTTTCAGAGACAACTGTTCTAGATGTAGCTATGGATTTGGTGTGTCCACGGCAGGAGGTGAGTTCAGGGTCTTCCCACATCTCCAACTTCAGGATGTGTTGATTTTCAGCAGACAGAGGTGGAGGAAGAACACTCAAACCAAACAAGTCTCCAAAGAAACTAGATCCTTCTTCAACTGGCTGGCTGTAAGGGAAGGAAGACCTCTGGATTAGATCCTTCTTATGCCTTTTGGGATATTTTGTCTCCTCCAGACGTTCCCTAGGGAGCCAGGAAGAGCTGCTCCCAGTTGCACCATGCTCGCCATGCATTTCGATTTTTGATGGATGCTGCTAAGTGGTTCTCCAAAGAGGCTCAACCCGCTCGTATTACCCCCACAGTACATGAGAGCACTCATTTCCTCAACCCTTCCCAACACTAGATATTTTACCTATTTTTGTAAATTTCTATCAGTCTTAAGGGGGTAAGAGAAAGTTCATTTTACTGAGCCCTTTCTCATGAGGTTGAGCATCTTTTCATGTGTTTATAGCCATTTGTATTTCTCTTCTGTGATCTGCCTGTTTACAGCTTTAATCTGATTTTCTGTTGGGTTATTTGTCTTTTTATTGATTTTTAGGACTTTGTGATTGATTAGATGTGGGGAATGGGGAATTAAAAGTCACACCTGGTCTTCAAGTTTGGGCAAACATGGAGACCATGGGGCCATTCGCTGGCGGGGAAGCACTGAGGGGACAGTGTCCAGGTGGGGCTATTGGTATATGGCTGGATAGAGACTGGGGCTGCACCCTCTGGGCTGCTGCCATATCCATCCCCCCCTTACACACATGGGGCTTCGCCCTAAGTGGGACCCTTGGCTTGGAGGGCTCCGGACCATCATTCACAAATAATCAATAGCAACTGAGTGCCCACCATGTGTCAGACACTCTCCTAGGCAGTGGGAACACAGCAGTGAACAGACAAGAATCTGGCTCTGGGTGAGTCTATATTTTAATTAGAGGCAGATAACCAAAGTAAACTATAAATAAGATAATTTCCGATAATGATAGGTGCCATAAGGTGACAAAACAGTAATATGATAGAAAGTACAGATGGGGAGCACCTTTGGTTGGGTGGTCAGAGGAAGACTTTCTGAGGAGGCAACATTTGATTCTAGATCTGCATGATGAAAAGGGGCCTGCCAAGATTTGGAGTAAGAGCATTCCAGAGACAATGGCAGGAGTCAAGGACTGAACCAGGCCGAGGGTGCATATTACAGGTATGGAAATAAGACTGGCACGGTTGGAGAGCAACAAATAGGAGGGTGGGTGGGGAAAGGCAGTGTGAAAAGAAGTCGGAGAAATGGAGAAGGGCCAGATCAGGAAGAGGTCCTTGAAGCCATGGCCAAAAGCTTGGAGTTTATGAGAGACAGTCCTGATATGATCCATGCCTTAGAGCGCACTTCATAGAGAACGGATTATAGGAGAGCATGAAGAGACCAAGAAATCCAGGTTAGAAGCTACTGAGGTGGTCCAATGAGAGATAGTAGTTGTTTGGATGTGAGTAGTAACAATGGGGATGATCGGGCACCTGGGTGGCTCAGTCAGTTGGGCATCTGGCTCGATTTCAGTTCAGGTCGTGATCTCATGGTTTGTGAGATAGAGCCCCACACTGGGCTCTGTGCTGACAGTGAGGAGCCTGCTTGGGATTCTCTCTCTCCCTCTCTCTCTGCCCCTACCCTTCTTGTTACCGCGCCCCCCTTCTCAAAATAAATAAACTTTAAAAAACAAACAAAACAATGGAGATGACAAGAAGTGGAAAATACACAGCTATCTTTTGGGTAGAGCCTACAGAACCTACCAATGGACAGATGTAGTAAGCAAGAGCAAGCAAGGAATCAGAGGTGACTCTTCATGTTCTGGTCTGAGAAATTAAGCAAATGGTGAAATTAGATGGGGAAGATGGTGGGGGTGGGCATGAATGATTTGGGCAAGAGCAAGAGAATCAAATGTTTTAGTTCAGATATGTTAAGTCCAAGGTGGTTATCAGACATCCTAGGGGCACTGGGCCTCAGGGAAGAGTCCAGAGCTAAAGGTACAAATCTGGAGCTTTCTGCAAACAAATGGAATACTGCATATTTATTGCTTTGTGGCTTGAAATCCAACTATCCACCTTCTTCCCAAAAAGTACCCAGATCTCCTTTTTAATAATAGAATCCTCCTATCAACTCGGCAGGAGGCTAATTCCCAGTCCACTGCAGCCCTGACATGAGGACTGAGCTGGGGAAGAGAGGGTCGGGTCATTGAAAACCTTGGCATCTTCACCCACTTCCCAAGGCAGGCATATGATTTAAGTTTGGCCTATCAAACCCTCATTCCTGATTCTTTAAAGCTCAAGCAAGTGCCTCAACGAAGGAAGGCACATTCCAAGATCAAAGTCATGGTGGTGGCTAGTGTGTGTGAGGCTGAGACTCTCACCAAGGCCTGACCTTCACTACAGTTCCTACTACAAAGTCCCACCTCTTTTCCCAGCCTGGTCTCCCAGATCCCGTGTAGGCTCCAATGGCCTTTCAGTAGATTTACTTTTTGCTCACAGCAGCCAGAGCTCCTTTCTGTTGCTCACAATCAGAAGCCCTGACTAATATATATAATATTTATAAGGTCATGTGGCTGGGGGCGCCTGGGTGGCTTGCTCAGTTAAGCGTCCAACTTCACCTCAGGTCATGATCTCATGGCTCGTGGGTTCGAGCCCCGCGTCGGGCTCTGTGCTGACAGCTCAGAGCCTGGAACCTGCTTCGGATTCTGTGTCTCCCTCTGTCTCTGCTCCCCCCCAACCCCACACTCATGCTCTGTCTCTCTCTGCCTCCCAAAAATAAACATAAAAAAATTTTAAAAAGAGAGAGACACCAAGAGCTTTCTCCCTCTCTCTCTCCATGTACACATACTGACAAAGGGCCGTGTGAAGACACAGCAAGAAGGTGGCCATCTACAACCCAGGGAGAGAGCCCTAGCCACACATCGACCCTGCTGGCACCGTGATGGTGGACTCTCCAGTCCCCAAAACAGTGAGAACTGTTGTGACAACTTCCTGTTGTTTCAGCCACTCGGTCTCTGGTGTTTTGTTATGAGAGCCCCAGCTAAGACAGAGACCAAAAGCTCCAGGGCACCAACACCTCCCAGTGGGGAAGGTATTACTGATCTCTTTAGTAGTTAACCCAGCCTGGAGCTTTTTCTCCCCAAGAGCTGGGATGGCTCTCCTGGAGAAGGACCAAGATAAGGCCTCCTAAGTGGGGATCCTGGTGTGGCAGGAGATAGGATATTTCTTTTAAGAGCAGAACTGGGGTGGAAGATGAGAATACTCATAAGGATTTGTTGTCACCAGTGTTGTCACCAGTGACTTAGCCCCGGGAGGTGATCTGTCACAGTGTAGAGAAAAAAGGCAATATTGCAGTGATGAAAAGGTTTAAAAAAAAAAAAAAAAAAGCAAGGGGAGAAGGATATAGCCAAAAGGGAAGAGGAGCTCGTGAGATCCCAAACAGAGAAAATTTCCCCGTGGCCATTCCTAGGGCAGAAGCTATATGGGAGTCAGATACCCATAACGTGAAACCACTTAGAGCACCCCGGGGCTGGACCAGCACCGATGACACTAGTCCCTGAAAATGTTCACCACCACCTCCCTCACCCCCAAGTCCTTGCTCCTGCACCTGAGCCTCATTCCTCACCACCCTAGGAGCAAGGACATTGGCTACAGCAGCTGGGTGAGAGAGCAGGGAAGGGGAGTAGAGATCCAGGGGATGGGACCAGAGTCTGTGTGGTCTGGGATAGGGCCCATCCTAGGGGAGCACCCTGGGGCTGGAGGCTGGACAGATGGGCAGCACGGAGGGGACATGAATAAGGAAGAGGCGTTCCCACCTAGAGAGTATCTGTAAGTCGGATGTGTAACATCTGAAGTTTTCCAACTGTAGTTTTCAACTTTACTGTGGATCCAAATCACCCAAAATGCAGATTCCCTGGAATCTGTATTTTTCATAAGTCCCCCTCCCCACTGCCCAGCAGTTGAGACATCCCAACCTCAGCCAAAGTCTTCCAAAGGGGCATGTTTATCATACGTTCTGCCTTCAGCAGGAGTTGCCGAGTTGGAAAGCATCATTGTCAACTGTCCCTTATGTTAAGAAGGAAGAGGAGGAGAAAGAGGAGGAAAGGAGAAGGGGAGAGGAGAGGAGAGGAGAGGAGAGGAGAGGAGAGGAGAGGAGAGGAGAAAGGAATGAAAATTAAAAACTTCAAAAATTTTTTCAAGTCAGACTGCAGCTCCAGTGACTCTAACCTCTAACCCCCAAAAAAGCATCACAGCAGCTTTCAAGTGTCAATCCAAGTGCTGAGCCCCCTGAATTATCTAACCTTCAGCTTTAAAGAACCAGAGCAAAAAGGTCAGAAGGAAAACTACTGTACGTGGCAGGAAGTTTTTCTGCTTTGGATACTTGAAAGGTAGAAGACTTTCAGAGAGGGACACAGCCGAGAGAAGTCACCCATTTAAAATTAAAGATCCTCAGCCGAGCAAGCCAATTCTTTGAAACAGCTTACTTCTGACTTAATTTGACCTGTTATTGTTTAAATCATTAGGAGGAATCTTTGGAAAAGACAGAGTTGACCCCCTCACTCCCATGCTTCAAACCTTTTGTCAGCTCCCCAGCGTCTGGAACTGCATCCCCCAAAGTGTGACCTGCAGCAATGGCTGTTGGGCAAATAAAGGGCTCCTTGTTGCGAATACGTTTGTAAAACACTGGGTGAAACCAAGTCAGACAGGTTTTCCTACAGGACTTGTCAGAGCCCTTATTATGCCAATGAGCACCGGCCATTGCTGGGACTGTGATGTGTGCAGCCCTTCCATCCCTGACCTGACTGCCACGGAACCCTTGTTTCAGGACTATGATCCCATGGACCCTGTTTGGGACCAATCCCTTAGTCTGGGCACTCAAGGCCTTCCACACCCAGCCCCAACCCCCGTTTCCACATGCGGCCACACGTGACGTCCTAATCGCACCAGCTACTTGCCCTTTACCAAGCCCTTGAAAGGCTTCAATGCCCTGCTCAGGCTGCGCCCACCGCCACGGACGCCTCTCCTCCTCCTCTTTGCCATCAAACTTCTACTCATGTTTCAGGCCCTTGCTCAAACACATGGCCTCGATGGACCTTCACCTGCTCCCTCCTGCA